AAAAAAAAAAAAAAAAAATCCTCAAGAAATTTGAGATGGAGCATTGCAAGCCAGTGAGTACCCCCGTGGAATGTGGAGTGAAATTATCTTTGCATGAGGAAGGTGAGAAGATTAATTCCACATACTTCAAAAGTCTTATGGGATGTTTGAGGTACTTGACTTGTACGAGGCCATACATTCTATTTGGAGTTGGACTCATAAGTCGTTGGATGGAGTCTCCTACTTCATCGCACTTAAGTGGCGAAAAGAACTCTTCGCTATATTAAAGGTACAGTTCATTACGGAATTTTCTATAAAATTTGCAAGATTTTAAGCTTGTTGGCTATTGTGATAACGATTGGGCCGGTGACGTTGATAGCCGGAAAAGTACTACTGGATTTGTTTCTTTATGGGAAATTCTGCATTCACGTGGAATTCGAAAAAGCAACCGATTGTGACTCTTTCTACTCGTGAAGTGGAGTATGTAGCTGCAACTTCGTGTGTTTGTCACGCTATTTAGTAGAGGAGTTTGTTGAAAGACCTCAATTTTCCTCAAGAAGGTCCGACTGAAATTTGTGTTGATAATAAGTCAGCAATACAATTGGTGGAGAATCCAGTGTTTCACGAGAGGAGCAAGCATATCGATACGAAGTACCATTTTATTTGAGATTGTATTTCCAAGAAAGAAGTGAATCTGTAGTACGTGAAGTCGAAAGACCAGGTTGCGGATATATTCACGAAGCCGTTGAACCTCGATGTGTTCAAGAACTTACGATTTTCTCTTAGAGTGATGAATTTAGTTTAAGATGGGGTGTTGAATTATTAAACTAAATTAATATTTGTTAACGTATGTAGGTGGTCATGTTCTAGGAATTTACATAATTCATGAATGTAAGTTATAAGATGCATGAAAGTAAAATGTAGGTGAAATGCATCATAATAATTAAGGGCGTTTGAAAAGGTATTCTTGTACCTAAAAATACCTTATGTGACTCATTTGCAAGTTGTAAGAGTGAATAAGCCAAAAAAAAAGAATAATAATATAATAAAGTTTTTTTTTCGTATTTTTCCTCTTCCATTTTCTAACATGTACAACACTAATCGTTCAGTTTCAGTAGTATTTTCAACCACTGGTCCAGTTGAACTTATCGTTTGGTTTCGGTAGTATTTTCAACCACTAGTTCAAGTTGAACTTACAGTTGACACAATTATGACAACTTCGTCCAGCTCGAGGGATACAAAGTAACCTTGTTTTCGGGAGTCCATTTTGCAACGGCTTGCTTTCCTTTTGAAGTGTGGAAACTAAAGCATACAACACCGAAATAAATGGTATCGAAAAATCAAAAATAAGAAGAAGCATCCTCGTTCAATTTCAAGGACTCTATTATTTCAGTTAACCTAATTCCCAACTTGCATGGTCAGGCAGCCAACCTAACAAATTCCAAAAGTGATGTTTTCAATTGGTTAATTGAAAGTGAATGTTCACATGTTATAATGACATCAACTTTTACTAATAAACCATTGTTAGCTCGCTAGAGCCTATTCATTCAAACCTCAAAATGGTGAAGATTACGTTATTATTACAAGTCAGGATATAAACTAGTAGAGTTCCGTTGAAGATTGATCAACTATTATTAAGTTAGGCTACGCTAAGCTAAAGTCGGAACCATGAGAACCAATTTTTTGGGCACCAACATTTTCATGTTCTTCTAATTGGGCTATTGGTTGGGCCAAGCCCACTTCTCCTACTCCGCCCACTTTCTTTCTTTCTGCCATGATCCTCTTGGTGGATCGGTAAAATGTTGCATAGAGCAATAACTGGGCAAGCCCAAGTAGCCCTCCCATCCCATTAGGTGCCTGCCATTAATTGCATCCAAAAAATAAGAATAAATTAGGAATGATTAAGCGAAAAAAATTGAAAACACGAAACAAGAACTTATTTGTAGTAGACATGGCCAAGGCCCGGCCCGTTCCCGACCCGGTCCAGGCCCGGATCGTAGGTTGCCCGTTCCGAGAACCGGCACCGTGGCTTTACGGCCGTATCCGGGTCATTTTTTTTTTGTCCCGGCGGTCCCGGGACCAGGGCGGGACAGGGCCGGTTTCGCAGACCGGCCCTTGGTTTTTGGCAGGCCGGTTAAGGTCACCCATGGGAGACCCGCCGGCCCGGCTGTTGACTGGCCATGTCTAATTTGTAGATTCAAAACTTACGGCGATGAAAATATCGAATCTGATAAGCGCATAAGCCGTCCAACTAATTCCGTTAAGGAAGGAGAAAAGGGAAATAAAAAATGGCATGTACTCCACGCTTCTTGTCTTGATCACCAGTTTCTGATGAGACAATGAGAGTCAATAAATAGTCACTTAAATTTATAAATGTGTATTATTAGTCAATTTGGATGAAGATTTGATCAGATGTTTAATTAATTCGATTTAATAATGAACATTTAATTTAGGCAAAAATGCATTTGTAGTTCTAGCAATTTTAGTGCAAAAGGTTCCAACTTTTCGCCTTTTTGTCCCGTGGTTTAATATTTTGCTACAATTTCAATGCTCGAATGGTTGAGATTGCAATAAAATTTTAAATTAAAAATCTATAATTCTAGAAATTTGTTCGCAGCAGAATATTAAATTAAAAGATCGAAAGGCGAAATGTTAGAATAGTGGAACTATTATTACTATTGAGTTATACAATAGGACCAAAAATGCAGTTTAGCCTTTAATTTTCTAAAATAATTAGAATTAGTTGCGTGTGTTTAGTAATTAATTAATTCATTGATTAGGGATTAAACGCACCATTACAGAAAGCGGCGAGGCGTACATGACGATGCTGCCGATCATACAAAAGGTGCCGACAATGTCAGATCGGAGTTTGGTGGAGTGGGCAAGTGTGAAGACGAGGAGGGCCAACGCCGCCAGGAACACGCATTCGGCCGCCACGGCCGCCGCCACCCTCAGCCGCTTCTCCGGGAGGCAAAAGGCGAGGAAGAGGGAGATGTATACAATCTCGATGAGGAAGCCGGTGCCGTTGACGGTCACCACTAGCATGCTGTGGGGGTGTACCACAGGCAGTCCGTATAGTACCCAAAGCCCACAGTTTGCGAACGTCGCTAGGTATGGTACCGCAGAGTACTGCTCCACTGATTTTTTCTTCCATATCTCCATGAATGTCGGCCTATTTATTATTCCATTCATTAATTTACCTCCATCTTAGTATATAGTATCATGAAAAGTTAATATCTTACTAGTAGAAAACAAAAAGTCTACGTATATGATATTTAAAAATTCAAATTAGATAAAGTGTGTATTACATTATTTAACTTCCATATATATCATTTTTTTTTTTTGTTTATTGTATAACTTTAATACAAAATAAAATTTAAATTAGATAAAGCGTGTATTACATTTTAAAATCTGACTAATGTAAATAAATATATAAACTAAATATAAATTATTTAACTTCCAATAAATAAGTTCTATGTTTTTCTTTTGTTATTGTATAATAATAATACAAAATAGGAATATTAGTCGTAAAATAATTTAATATCGTATATTCAGAAAATTTAAAATCTTGTAAAGTTGTTACACAGGATAAAAAATAATATGCTGGCCATAAAGATCTTTTTTTTTTAAATAAAGTTCTATTAATTTTTATTTATTGTTGGGTGAATACAATTAATTGAAACTTACCAGCAATTATATATACATAAATTTTACGAATAACAATTTGTGGACATTGTACCAATAAATACAAGATGTTGATTCATTGTGGACTAATTTACCCAAGGCCAAAAGTTGATAATCTAAAGTGAAAAGTAGTTAATTAAATTTCTACACAAATCATATATAATTTTAATTAAAAATAATAATATTAACGATAAAAAAAACTCTAAAAAAAACAATATTTAAATGGCATATTAGAAATAATAGTTAATTAACCAGCATGACTTGAATCTTACACAGGGGACAGAAACAGAATGAGAGCCATGATGTTTCCTGAAAGTATATATTATTATTTTGATTAATATATAAACCTCATGAATTATAAACTAAATTACAAGTGAAAAAGAGTTGTATGTATATTGACACTGACCTAAAATGCCAACAGTGGTGCGAGCATCTTCTTTGGAGAACATGATTGTGAAGATGATACTAACTTAATAAAAAGCTAGATATATATATATATATATAGGATTTATTAAGTGGGTGAATTGAGAAGAAAAATGTTAATATATATTGTATATATAATAGGCAAGTAAAAGGAAATTAAAGAGGTGCATTTTGGCATTTGTGTTGCATAATCAGAGAAGTTTATGCTGTAACTTGCATGCCATGCATTGGCAGGTTACCCTCAAAGCAACACATGTAATGACAACTACCACCTAAAAATAAAGAAACAAAAACAATGAATTGAAACTAAATGTGCATGGCACGTGAATCAAAGACTTGTTAAATACCATGCCAAAAAATAGTAATTAAATCCAATAAAAAATGTATTTTTTTTTATATTTAAATAGTTAATTATTCTTATAATGATCAAAATAAATAGTTGAAAGAAATAGTCATTTTCACCTCGCTTTAAAAACGTAATCAATTTTACAAATTGTGACAATAATAAATTATTTTTTTTACCTCATAAAATGCGAAACAAATTATACGGTAAGCTATGTGACATAAGTACGAAGATAATTGACAAAATGCAAAATAATTATGCGACAAACAGTTGAAGATTGTTTATTCAAAAAGGTTTTGCGACAGACATGCGAAGATAATTGATAAAGTGCGCAAATATTATGCAAAAAACTATGAGATGTGTCTCTTCTTAGATCAGGAGTGAACCGGTGGATATGAGCTCCGATCTGTTCGAACCGCCTGCGAATCGTCTTTAGACCGCCGTAAACACCTACAAGAACTCAACGCCGGAAGTGTTTCTGGCGTAAAGCCACCGACGCTTAAGTCAGTATCAGATAGAGATAAGGGAGTTCTGCTTAGTGCGAGTTACAGTAGCAGGAAGATGAAAATGAATAGAGAGTAAAAATTAGGGTTTGGTGTTACCTCTCCTCATTTTATAGAGGGGAATACCTACCTAGAAGTATCCAGAATGCCCCCTGGTCGATCGATCTATTTGCCCGGTTTAATTGTGTCATAATCACCTCTTAGTCAGATTTGAGTCAACTTAATATTCCATCTTATCCAATAAAGATTCTTCCTTATCCAACGAATAAACCTGAATACCTTGAAGTACCTTCAGTCATCGTCTATTCCCTATCTCGAGGTGTAGAGAGTCGACCTGGAGTGGCTAGAGGTCAACTTAGAGCTTATGAGTACAAAGAGGCTCTATGACCTATCCCTAAAATATTCTCGTCTTCTTAACAGAGTAAATCGACTTCGATTAAAGCAATTTAGGGAAGTCAATTTGCGGATGTCGACGTCCTGTATAATAATGACTTAGATCGAAGTCCTGTAGACGCTGACTCGCGGGTGTCGACTCACGGAAGTCGACTCATGGGTATCGAATTTAATATGAATAAAGACCCTTGTTGGTCTATTTCTCATGTAATGATCTCGAGCATCGAGATGAGGCCCTGTATGAATCATTTCTTCAGCTCGACTCGGCTTAGATAGCTTATCTGTTCACCTGGTGGAGCTACTATAATTGGTTTACCTAAGTGTGGCCATATCATCTAGTCCTCCCCNNNNTTCTCAGTCGAATTTGTCTACGATGAGGTTTGACTTAATCATTTCTTGCTAGATGTCGAGTTTTCTCGAAGTGCTTTACTCGTCTTGCGATTATTTTCGTGACTCTAGCCGCGAAATTTGACTCGAGTGGTCATGCTAATAACATGTCACGTCCCTTGACTGAGCTAGCCATGATTGAATCATGTACTTAGGATTTTATTATTTTTTAGACAGGTTTGATATTTTTTGAATTTCAAATTTGAAATTTGATATGAAATGCGTTGTTTCACCTTCCACCTCTTCGTATTTTGCGCGTCATCTCAGCCGTTAGATTCCACTTTAATCTGAGGGTCAGTATTCCCTGGCTTCTCTTATAAGTATCTTTTCCCTTTCTCCTTTACAACTTTTTTGCGAACTCTCTCTCTCTCTCTCTTTCTCTCTCAATTCTCTATAAAGTTTTCCAGCAACCCAATTGTTCTTAATATTCTTCAGCGATCTTCGCAGTTCTTCAGAGGCTCTTCAATATTC